AGGCGCGAGCTGATCCTGGGCAGGAGAGCTGTGGCAGATGTGCGTGGCAGGTTCGTGGCTCCGTGGGTGCTCTGGGGTCCGCCCAGGCACTGCAGCTGTAGGCTGGGGCCTCTGCAGCGCGAGCACATGAGAGACAACTAAAAGAGACAATCAAAACGTGTTTTGGGAAATAGGTTGCCTCTTCTGCCTGAGGTTTCCAAGAAAGCAAAGCAACCTGCCCTTCCCCCCACTTCAGATCCCACCTGTTTTGTTTTTTTCCTCGAAAAATGTGAAATTCATTAACATGTGGTGAAAGCAATGTAACGACGTCATCTTGATTTAAAATCTGTTTTAAATCTTAAAACGATGGAGCCAGAATCTTAACTACAAATAGCCTTGCTTTTGTGGGTACGAGGCAGACTGTCAGCATTACTCCAACATCTCTGTTTTTAGTAGTTTAGCATCCTTTGCAACAGTATTGTCTGAAAAGAAAGCGAGAAGAGGTGCAGGAAGGACAGAAGAGATGGGTATTATTCATGTGAAAAGCCAAGTCCTTGCTGCACTCGGACGTGGCTGCGGTGCCTCGGGGAGCAGGGCGAGCAGAGCCTGGCTGGGTGACGGCCGTCAGCCCCGTCTGCATCCCGCCCTGCTTCTCCTCGTGCGTCCTCGGCTTCGGGTCACGGCTTCTTGCTGCGCTGTCTTCTGAGGGTGGGAGATATTGCTATGATTAATTGTGTAATTCTTGTCTGTCACCTCCGTCATCACTTTGAATGTCCATTTAGACCCGGGGTGCCCTGAATCTCCCTTTGCTCAGCCCGTGCGTTTAGCTCCTGCAGTCTCCTCTGGACTCCTGACAGTAAAATACGAGAATTAAATGGCTTTCTCTCCGAGGACCTGGGATTCAAAGAGCATAATCCCAGCATTTAATAAGGGCAGCAAAGGCGATCCCACAACGTCCCTGTGAACCTCATTGCTGTTGCCACTGTGTTGAATATAATGTTTTTGTTTGGGTTGCTTAGTGAAGGTCTGGTGCTAAGCAGCGCTGCCTGCCCGAAGTTTTCCTCCCGCTGCTGATCTGTGTGTCTACTCGATAAATGGAAATGCTAAAAAGTTCTTTTGAGGTTTTGACTTTCAGGGAGTATTTGACTTTGAAATATTTGCTGGAATGAAGTGACATATGCAGGAGGCTGAAGCCGGGGCTGTTTTGCGTGTTGTGGCCGCTTGCTCTTAGGTGTTTTAGCCTGGAATGGACCTGAATGAGGATTTATTGACCCTTTTTCATTTGCATTGCCAGCTCCATCCCCACACTAATGTATCGGAACACTGTTGCTTGCAGACTAGGAGGACAAGCATGCCTTGGTGGGAATGTGTTAGGAGAAGTAGAAACCCTGCTAGGAGTAAATGTTGTTCCTCTGTCAGTCCCAAACCTGGGCATCATCAAATTCCCATGCGATTCTTATTTTGTGGTGGATTTTGTCTCTTACACACGAGAGGCACACAGCATTAGAGCTCACCAACAAGGAGCAGACTTTGAGTGGTCTTTGCCAAATTAAAAGTTGCCATTTGTGTGGTGGCTTCATGTGTGTGCCACTCGATAATCTTTTGGTTTCCGAGTGATTTATTGTCCCGTGAAGGGAGTCTGCCACCAAAATATCATCCATCTGTGAGGTTGGAGTGGGCAGCATGACTGTTGTGGTGCAAAAGTTCTTGGGGACAGGTCATGGAGCAATCTCTGGGCTTTCGTATTGTTTGGGTGTGAAGTGCTTTAGGGTACGTGCTGCTCAGCCTCCCCTTTGGGAGGGCATCTTGAGAATATCTGGGTTGGCTGGTCCTCTGACCTTGGGCAAAGTGGGATGACTCTCTGGAAGCAAAAGCAGGACTCCTGCTTCGGTGTTTCTTGGGAACAGTTAAGGAAACAAGACTTGCAGAGAAGGGCAGGTGTGTCAGAGAAAATTTCTGGTAAAGTTTTAAGGCTGTAGTGAACTAAGGTTGATTGAATCCATTGGCCACAAAAAACAGATGAAGTGGCTGAAGCGATCAGAGCCCTGCTGATAACGGCCTCGCGGCTAGACGTGCTGGTTTGGCTCTCCCTGCTCCTCGTTAACTCTCCCCAAGCCATGGCCCTGTTGAGGCACGCAGAGAAGCATCCATAGACGTCACCAATGAGCTGGCTTCACTGAGAAGCAGGGCTGGTAAAAAAGGTTAGTTATACAAAAGGCACAGGCACTATCTAATATACTCTCTATAGTAGTAGATTTTATGGCTCTGCAAAGCTAGAGTCCCATCTGCTGATGTCAGCATAGTTTTTTCCTGTGACTTCTTCCCTGGAGTTGATCTGGGGAATCAGTGCAGCTGCTGAAGGTGAAGAACAAACTCTCTGAAATGGAGTTGTCCATCCGCTTTCTCCCATACGCATCTGTGTGACCTGGAAGAGGCTATGCATATGCAAACGAGAGCCTAATTTATGGCCAGCGTGGCTGACCAGGATTAAATCAAAGCAGGACCAAGCAGAAGTTTTTACTGAAAAAAACCTCCCACAGTTTGATTGTAAAAACCCCGGTTTGGTTTACTGTGGAGAGCCAGCTCTGGCTAGAATTACAAGTTGAGCGCCTGATACCGCGGCCGCAGCTGTCAAGCGAAGGGCAGCCAAGTCCGAGCCCTCGCGCACCACGTGCCCGTTGGCAGGTTGGTGCGCAGTCGTTCTGTCCAAGATGCTGCTTTTGTTTCACGGTCTGTTCTGTTCTCTCCTCCCCCTCCCCATCCGCTCTCAGATGTTTGCTGCCGAGGAGAATGTAGATTTTCGGATACACGTGGAGAACCAGACGCGAGCGAGGGACGACGTGAGCAGGAAGCAGCTTCGGCTCTATCAGCTCTACAGCAGGACGAGTGGGAAGCACATCCAAGTGCTTGGCAGGAGGATCAGTGCCAAAGGAGAAGACGGAGATAAATATGGTAAGAATATTTACTGGGATCCCCCATTCTCCCGGTCAAAGGCTTTAATCCTCTATCTAATCCTGCTGGGCTGAGAACATCTTGGGAGAAGAATAAGAGCAGCGATAAAAAAAAAAACAGGATAAAAGGGGGAAAAAAAACCTTTCTGGGTTAAGAACATGGGATTTGTTGTGTTGGAGCAGGCTGTCAGCCTGGCTCCCAGCTGCAGGCAGTTCCCACAGTAGTGTCATGCCCAAATTTATTAGTGTATGGTCGTGCTTGAAGAGAAGAATCCTTTTCTGCCCAGCGTCTGCTGGAATTTGTAAACGATCCCCAGGTTGGCGACTGGGGATGTTCTTTCCCCATGAACTCTGGGCTCGAGTTTGTGTGAGTTCAGTGAAACACCGTCACCTTTCTAGGCTGGGGGGATGTTTGGTTTGAGCTGAAATCAAGCAGACTTTGGAGCTTTGAGAGTACCTCTGAGCTTAAGTTGAATATGGGTCGTGTGGATCCTGCAGGAACGCAAAGAATTGAACTTCCCCCAGGCTAACCGTGTGTTCAGCTGTTCTCACGGTGATTTGCACACAAGCTAGAAATGCTGCTAGCAGGTTGGATGATGAAAAAAACTCTGTAATTCTGGTACACTTTGAGATGGTTGTGGCAGAGATACTTTTGGTCCAGTTGGTTGCTGGAAAGGTTTTAGGGCTGTTCAGAGAACTGGTCCTTTCTCTCCTATGGATGCACAGCCCCGTGCGTTCATGCGTCGCTGCAGGGGTGTGTGTACGCATCGGCTAGCATGCACGTTCACGCGAGGCTGTGATAGAAGGGATCATAAGAGGTGTGAAACGGCATCAGTTGACTTCACGTGCAGCGTGGGTGCGGTGGAGGTGGGCTACGATGACGGCAGCTCAAGACCTGGGAACGGTTGTTGCCTGGGGGAGCTTCGGGCAGGATGAGGTTACACGCTGGCTGCCGGCACGGGCAGAGGAGCAGGGCGAGCTGTGCCACGGGGGGTGACAGCGAGAAGCACCTGGCTGGTGTGGAATGAACCCCACCACTCTTGTGCAGTCACCCAGTCTCTCAGAGGAAGCCCTGCTCCGAGGTCTCATCAGCCTTGTCCCTTGTCATTCCCAAATTTCCAGATAGAACAGGAGTGGAAGGCACCACTTGGCTGCTAATTATTGTGTCATTTTATTGTATTCATCCTCTTAAGGCTTGGTATGTAAACTAGCCGCTGCGTGCTCGCTGCTGGCTTCCCAGGGAACGCTCTTGCCGGCAGTGACTGTCAGGTAGCGTGATGTAGTCTTCCTCTCCATAAAAGAAGGCAGCATTTACAGTGGGGTGCAGCAGGGAAGTGTGCCCATGAGCAGCTGACAAGTGCTAATTTATGTGTCAAAGCCCATCTTGTCCCCTTCATACATATGCAATCGTGTCTGAACAACGAATCCTCGCGCGGGAGCGTGCTCGTGGCCGGTGGCGATGCTGCGCGGTCGCAGAGCCTGAGGTTTCCCATCCGGGGAGCTCCCCGGTGCCTGGGTCGCATGGTCCCGGAGCGCTCGGGCCGTGGTGGCCATTCGCTGACACCCCCACCCGCTCCCTCCCCCCCGCGCCTCCTAATGAAACTCCTTGACGCGCCAAGCTGCAAAGCCTTCCCGTCCCTCGCCGTGCTGAAAGGTTATGGAAATCTGTTCATCATCTTGCTTGGCACGGGAACACTCGGAGCATGATAATCGGGGAGACAGTGAGGTGGGACGTGGAGGTCCGGGATGTGACCACGCAGAGCTCCTGGCTGTGATAATGAAGGGGGGAGAGATGTCAGAGTTACTGAAGTGAGAACCATCTGTGTTGCAGCCAAAACTGGATACAAAGGCAATGACACAGGATTCATTATGTGCAGGGAACCCCTCCCCCCGAGGCATTATTATGGAGTAACCTTTGATCAAGAGCAGAGAGAGGCTTAAACCAGGTCTGGGGATCTCAACAGTAGCAAACTTTTGATCCACGTCTCCGTCTCGCTGGTTGGATCTGCCTCTGAGGGAGGACACCTCTCCCCTCGTGCGGCAGATGGCTGTTTTTCCTCCTGCCCTCTTTCTCCTCTTCCCTCTGTCACTGCCTCAATGCTGGCACAGCGAGTCGCATCCAGGCTTGGTGCTGGGGAGTGCTCAGCTCCTCTCCTGCCTCTGTCACCCTTGCAGCCTCCCACGGCCTCTCCGCTGTCTTAACCCTGTCCCCACTGACAGGGGAGCTGGAGGCGGAGGTGGTGTGGATTGACATCACAGAATCACAGGGTGATGGGGGTTGGAAGGGACCTCTGTGGGTCATCCAGTCCAACCCCCTGCCGAAGCAGGGTCACCCAGAGCCGGCTGCCCGTCCTGTCGCTGGGCACCACTGAAAAGAGCCTGGCCCCGTCCTCCTGACACCCACCCTTCAGATATTTCTAGACATTTATAAGGTCTCCTCTCAGCCTTCTCTTCTTCAGGCTAAACAAGCCCAGCTCCCTCAGCCTCTCCTCGCAGGAGAGATGCTCCAGCCCCCTCATCATCCTCGTAGCCCTCCACTGGACTCTCTCCAGTAGCTCCCGTCCTTGGGATTACAGCCCAGGGAAGGCTTTGGGAGGACGAGCAAGAGCCAGTGCCTGACAAAAGGCAAGAGATGTGGGAAAAGGTGCCCGTGAGCCGGCTCCAGTGCCGAATTCTCCCAACCACTCAGCCCTGTTAAGAGAGGGTAACATCAGGCAACGGCAGCGCAGACTCGGTCTTAATGTGGGAAGCTCAGTCAAGCGGTGTGGCTGTGGCTAAGCCCCATAGTGCTCATCACCAGCAATTAACGCTAGCCAGTTTTAAGGATGGGGGAGCTAATAACATTTTGGCACCTCTTTCCCCTCTCCTCCCATACATTCCCCACTGGTTAAAGGACAGTGTCCAAGTGAAGAAATTCACTTTTTTTTTTTTTTGCAGCTTCCAAATGGCTGGTGGGGGAGGGGTGTCCTGCCTTTGAAGGGAGCTTAGTTTTATTGCAAGGTTTTATTGACTTCTGTAAAACTTCTCGCCTCTTGGTTGAAGGGAATGCCCAGAACAGAGGGGAGGTGGCAAATCTCAGGCAGCGAATTGCTCCTTTCGAGGCGGCCACCGTGAGTACAGCAAAATGACCAGCAGCCCTGGTTCAGGGAGAGAAGATACACAGGGCTGGGGGAATCCGCCCCGAGGAAGCCCCCTTGAGTGTTTTATCCCGGTCCGCAAATGCCATGTACAAGGAAGAATGCGTGCTCTGCAATGCACAGTTTTCCTGGCGTAAGAATTCCGGTGTGTAATTTTTGGTTTATGTGTTCTTCAGGGCCAAGATCTGGCCCCATGTGTCGAATTATTAAATGGCAAATTAAGTCAGTTAATAGAATTAATTGAGTCGATGTAATCCTTTTAATCAGATGGATTTGATCCCTTCTCAGATGAATTAGAATCCATTAACAGATAAGTCAATTATTGGACTAAATTAAATCTCATAATAATGCCTGCTGCTCACAGCAACACTAATTAATCTAAATACACTTACCTATCTCCTAAGGTTGTTTTGTTTTTTTTTAAGGCTTAATTGATGTTCCTAAAGTGCTCTGAGATCTTTAGATAACAGACGATCTATGTGAGCAAAATATTATCTCTTAACAGACTATAAACTAATTAAAAGACTGATCTATTTACAGATTGCTTTTTTACTTTAATCTCTTCGAGCTATTCAGAAGGCGTTTGCACTGGCCCAGAAAAAACAATATTCCTGTTATAAGCTTATTATTACTTTACAGGTTTCTAAGTGGTCCTTTCATTCCGAAAATGAAAGGGGGAAGGAGAAAAAACAACCATTAAAGTGCTGACAAAAAAACAGAAAAGGACCTGGAACCTTTATATTCTACCTCCGATAAATGGTAGAGATAGGGAAGAGAGGGATCAGTGACCTGAAACCTTAGATCCTTTCATTTATTTTCATTTCACAAAAGGCAGAAGACATTCTATCCTGTTTGCTCACGATCTTTGTATCCGGCGCAGTTGGGGAGACAGAGCTCGCTTGGTTGGGTGAAGGCATTTTTTTGCCTCATTTGTATTTCACAGCCATGTGATTTTTGTTTTAATTTGTCCCTGGCAGCTGCTGCCTTGCGGGGCAATGAGAAGTGATAGCCATCAGGAGAGAGGCGAGGGGGGTGTGAGAGGTCTTTGGGCTTGCCCTCTCCCTGGAGGTGACTTTTATTTGCCGTGAGTGCTTGGGTGTCCTGACGGCTGGGATACGGGATGTGCGGGTACATTATTAAGTCAGTGTGTTCCAGGTTGCTACCCGGTGGTATTTTGTCCATTGACCTAGTCTGTCACAGTTCAGAAAAACTCTTGGGTCCCTTAGAAGGTTACAAACCATCTGTTTTATAAACCTTCTCGTCTACAGCATGGGAGGCTTTGAGGACACCCCGCACGAGGGGCAGCGCACGGGTGTGACATCTCTCCTCCTCGGCATCCCGTCGCTGCTGGCGTTTTCAGCCACCCGGGGCGGTGGGCCCTGAGCTAGTGAAGTCCTCTCAAAGACTTCTCCTGAGTTCAGTGGGATTTAGCTCAGGACTCAAGAGATGCTCCTGAGACGGGAGGTTTGGAGAGGTTGACAAAGCGTGGGTTTGCTAGCAGGGTGTCGACAAATCTGGGGTCAGGTAGACCAAGGAGGGAAGGAAATTCAAGAGGCGTTGTGCATGCAGGATGCCAGGGGTCACCTCCACGTGTGGTGGGTGTTCCTGGTGCAGAACGTCACGCCCCATACAGATGTGCTTTTTTGGGTGTTACGGGGAGAGCAAGGAGCTCGGGGAGACGGGTACCTCCTTCCTGGGGCCACCCCGGCCTGGGTGATGTTCGCCGCAGCTTGCAGTCCCAGCCTTCCGTTCTGTAGCTGGAGCTTCCCAGAGACAAGCCCATGGAGAGCACATTACAGCTGTCTAGACATCAGCCACACTCCATCCCGCCAGAGGTTTCGTTTGTGGTAGAAGTGGGCTCTGT